TATTCGCCAATCTTTTTCAATTAATATTTCAATAATTATTGCAAAAATTGCAAAATGGTACAGGACTTTTCTGTTCAGTTTACTGTGCTCTACCTGCTCACGAGCGTTGTCAAGGGTGCTTTGGGACACCCTGTATATATTGTGACGTGACGTTTTTGGGACGTCCGTCACAAGGGTCGAATGACCTGATCGGGGGCGGTTTTTCGGGGGCCTGCGTCCTCTCGGTTTAGGGAGAGAGCGGCCCAATCGTCGGATCGACGAGATCCGACTTTTGGTAGTAATAGTTACCGAAACTGTAAGCTCGAGATGAGCCCGCGAGTTGGTTGTCGGCACGAGATCGAGCGGCGGGATCCCATCCGGCGGAAGAAAAGGAAGAGAGAAGAGTGACGGCCGAGAGCGGGAGTCCAGGACACCCAGGAAACAGGAGACGCCAAGTCGTAGTTGTCTAATATTAAAAACATTTTTAAGGGCTGATAAACATCGCTGCCGATAAATTTATATTTCTTGTGGCAGGAAAGGAGCGAAGGGCCGGAATAATCCGGCCAAAGGGGCGGCCACTCCACCCGTACGAAGCGAGGGAGTCCCAAGGACGGAGCGGTGAGCGGACTCTCAACGTGGAGCCTAATCGACCAAATAGGATAGAGAGCCGATCGGGCACAGCCGTAAGCCCGCACCTTTAAGCCGAACAACAGAAAATCTTGGAAACTCCGGGGCGATGAACCCACCAACACGGCCGTGATGACAACAAGGATCGCGAGGACCGCAGGACGGCCCTGCGTAACGCGAAAGCGCCACAGGTGGCACGATAGCGATTTATCGCGCCGGCGTGTCTCCTGCAGGACTCGCTTGCACCAGTTTAAATAAGATTGATGCAGTCAATCCTGAGGTATGATAATCGTATCGAGCGAAATACCAGAATTGTGACATTTATTTTTCCAATTCAGACTCTCAAGTACGTATACTCGCACGCACACACGCAAAGCGATTTTGTCCCTCAAGATGCGTTTGCAGCGCTCATGTAGGATTATTCGCTTGAGTGTACAGATACGCCTTGACAGACAATGTTGTGTATATACGTGCATATGTATAAGATAATAATGTAAGGTTATAAGAGTATATATCGCGCGGATAAGATAAAAAATGTGAAGATTATATAATATATATCGCGGAATAATGGAACGAAAAGACGAAAACTGATAAGAGTATCGCGGAATAATGCAACAACGAAGAGGAGTGATAAAGTTAAAAGAAATTATTAACGCGGAATAGTGTAAGGAAGAGAAGTGATTTCTTTTAATCGATGATGTCATATCGAGCAAAGTTTGGTTACATTAATAAAACTGAGCGAATACTTACAGTGAAGTGAATCTGTGCATTATCAATTATAACATATATTTGTGATAAATACATTATTGGAAAATGATTATGAATAAATCGAAGGAATATTTGGAGATTTTGGCTGGCCATGTTTTCGATAACGATAAGCTGGTAATTATATGCGCGAACGCGCATTCATGTATATAATGTTTATTTGTATTTTATATATAAATGTAATTAATGCATAATTAATATTTATAGGTTAACTTACAAATGGCTAAAAGCAATGAGTTTATATTAATATAGCAAAATAAATCTTATGAGAATTCTATCAAAAATATCATAAAAACCACAGCATTGAATACACATTTTTATTATTTGGTTTTATATAGAATAATAAAATGATAAGATCATATCGAAGCACTTCTATAGTGTATGCAAACATTTTGCGGATGTGGAATTACTCGCTACTTTTGGTTCTGAAAATGTGAATGTTTATTTATATTTCATATATGTATTTAATGTGTAATTAATATTTTTAGGTCACTTACAAATGGCTAAACAATAAGTTGCATATTTATGTTAATATAGCAAAACAAATCTTGGGAATTCTATCAAAAATATTACATTATATACAGTTGAATTGAAAAC